GTAAATTGATTGCACGTTTATAATATATATATATATATATATATATATATATATATATATATATATATATATATATATATATATATATATATATATATGTTTTTAACTTCCATTTTTTTTTTCTTTCACTCTCTCATTCTATTGTTTATATACCTTATTTCCTTCTCTCTTCTCTATTTCCTTCTCTCTCTTTTTCGGTCGCTTATTCTTATTTATTTTCTCCTACATTATTCTCTCTTTGTAGGCATTTCTTCTGTCTTTTTTTTTTCTCTTTTTCCATCTCTATCTCTGTTTCTATTCCTTATTTGTTCTCTCTTCTTTTCTCCTTCGCATTCTCTCTCTCTCTCTCTCTCTATATATATATATATATATGACACCTTTCCATGTTTTATTCCTTCATCTTCTTTTTCTATCACTTTCATCATTTCCTCTTCTCCTTCTCCCCCTTTCTCTTAGTGATCTTCCCTTATTTCTTCGTCGCCTCTTTCCTCTTCTCCACTCCCTATCTTTATCTACCTTGTTTCTCTCTGTATATATATAGAGAGAGAGATATCAATCTCGCTGTCTCTCTGTCTTACCATCCATTATCTCTTTTCCTAATTGTTCTCTTTTCCTAATTGTTCTCTTTCACTATTTTCTTTCTCTCTTTTCTATTCCCCCCTCTCTCTCTCTCTCTTTCTCTCTCTCTCTCTCTCTCTTAGTATCACCTTTTCACTTTTCCTTTTTTCTTTCTATCTCGCTCAATATTTCTTCTTTATTTCTCACTCTTTTTTTGTTCTCTCTCAAACTCGGCCATTATTCCATATTTATATCTCTCTTCTTCTATATCAATCTCTGTATAGCCTCCCTCTTTTTTGCCACTGTCATGTCGGTGAGGAGTAGAATACGATGACTACAAGCCTTGAAATGGTGCAAGACCCTCCCCGTGTGTATGCTTGCACCCTCAAATGTAAACCTGGCAAATGTTTACTCTGGTGCAAACATGACAATATTTACCTATAGATCTAAATATAAATATGACCAATTTTCATCTCTACTCAAATATAAACAGGTTTACCTATAGACTCAAGTATAAAGGCGACTCATTTGTTTCTATAGACTCAAGTATAAACTTGGCCGAAGTTTACCTATATATTCAAGTATAAATACGGCTTATTTTTACCTATAGACACAAGTATAAATGCGACCAAATTCTACCTATAGACTCAAGTATAAACTTGGCCAAGGTTTACCTATAGACTCAAGTATACATACGACCAATTTTTACTTATAGACTCAAGTATATACTTGGGAAATATTTACCTATAGACTCAAGTATAAACACGGCTTATTTTTACCTATAGACTCAAGTATAAATTTGGCCAATGTTTACCTATAGACTAAAATATATACTAGGCCAATGTTTACCTGTAGACTAAAATATATACTAGGCCAATGTTTACCTGTAGACTCAAGTATAAACATGGCCAATGTTTACCTATAGACTCAAGTATAAAGACTAATGATATCTGACTACAGACTCAAGTACAAATCCGACCTTACTTTTTAAAAGTTGTTTGGACGTGAAAGAAAATCAGAGTAGTAGAAAGTGCAAATCACGTGAATTTGTTTAAGGTGAACTTCAGCTTGCCCGGATGTGACCCACCCACTTGATTTCAAAACTTTCCTCTGCGGCACAATATGGAAAGAGACATGCAGAATCCAGTTATAAAACTGCAACGGACAGACGCTAATTCTTGCTTATAGACTCGACCAATTTTTACATATAGACGCAAGGATAACCCCTACCAATATTTACTTATAGACTCAAGTATAATAAAAATAAAAAAAAAAAGATTTCGATATTAATAAACTAAACAAGGGTTGATATGCCGTAATATCCACCACCCCTAACACAATTTTAATTCATCGCCTGCTTTTATCTGTTCCTTTCCTAGTTTTTCATTCATTTCATAAATTCTGGTCTCTTCTCTGGATCTCTGTGCTCATTAGTTTTAATTGTTCCTCCCTCCCCCACCCCGCTCTTCGATCTCTTATTCTTGCTAAAAGTGTCCTTTCCTTGCTTCTGCTGTAGCACACATGTATAAACATATAAGCGAAGCAAGACACGCGCAATTCCAACAAACTGAGAGAAAAGAGATCAAGTGATTGAAAACCATATCACTGGAGAGATTCAATAAATGTCTATGCGTGCTTATAATTTCATTTTTTTTTTTCTGTTGATAGGAAAATATGTGAGCATATGTAGATTTTTATTCACTATATATATATATATATATATATATGTGTGTGTGTGTATGTGAGAGAGAGAGAGTATATGTGTGTGTGTGCCTATACCTATTGAATAAAGCATTCATTGATAGACGGAATCAATTACCGTTCATTAACTCTATTCATACTTCCATTAAATATGAAATCGTTTCGTCTGTTTACTTTTCTATTTGTTGACTGTTTGTCTGGAGAGTAATCAATCCATATTATAGAGGGCAGAATTTTGGCA